CGAGTTCGCGCATGTTGTCGAGTCGGCATCAGTAAGCGCCGCCCTGCTCATCAGTCAGCTCCAGCTTCATCTTCTCGACGACGCCGTCGTGCAATCGGTCGCCACCGCTAGGTGGCGCCCGCTCGAACCACGACGCCGCATCGCCGTCGCCTCTCCCCTCGCCGCCGCCGGTGGCCCGAAGGCCACGCTGCAAGGCTGAGTAATCGCGGGCTCGGAACCCCAGCGCCGAACGCCCCCCGCCGGGTCCACCCGTGCGCCGGGGCGAAGCTTTGAAGTCGACGGCGGGGCGACGAGGCGCCACCGTCGCGCGTCCACTGCCCGCGATCGAGCGGACGCGCCGCTCCAGCTGCCGGAGTCGTGGGTCGTGCGTCGTCCGCGGCGACCCCGGATCCGGGAGTCTGCCTGCCACCGGGATCGAGTCGGAAGTCGAACCACAACAACCTCTCCCCGGCGCTTGCTTCGCACAGGCTCGCATTGTTACGCTCCTCCGCGGAAGCTTTCCACAAACGGTCCCCGCTCACTATGTCCGTGCTGGGAACTCTTCCATCCATCTCTCATAGCCGATTCAGATGCTTCTGTTAAGTTACGTTTTTCGTGGGTGGTTCCACACTGGTTCTGTGATCACTATATATTTTGGAACCCTTCCATCCATCTCTCATAGCCACCTCAGATGCTTCTGTTAAGTTTTGTTCTTCTGTGGGTGGTTTCCACACTGGTTCCCTGCTTAATATATTATTTTGGGACCATTCCATCCATCTCTCATAGCCACCTCTGATGCTTCTGTTAAGTTTGTTCTTCTGTGGTGGTTTCCACACTGGTTCCCTGCTTAATATATTATTTTGGGAACCATTCCATCCATTCTCTCATAGCCACCTCAGATGCTTCTGTTAAGTTTTGTTCTTCTGTGGTGTGGTTTCCACACTGGTTCCCTGCTTAATATTTATTTTGGGAAGCCATCAGGGAACCCTTCCATCCATCTCTCATAGCCACCTCAGATGCTTCTGTCACATTACA